CTGCCCCTGGTCCAATTGTGCTAATGTTAGACTAGTGAGCACCACTGTGGTAGGAAAAAGAGGTGACAGGACCTTTTATTTGTGGATTGTTAAGGTCTGAGCTGACCTGAGACCCCTTGATATGCAAATCTGAGTGATGGTATAAGTTATAATAGGGCCAAGGAGCAAGTCTAAAAAGAATTCTGTCCTCACCCTTGTATGGGGTCCTCAGTAAAATGGCCACTACTTCCTGGTATTCAGATTAAATGCAGTATCTCTTGGCTGCATACCGTGATACAGAGGCTGGGTGACAAACAGTGCCAGCACAGGTAAGTAGCATTTCCTGGAGCCCATATCATCACAGAACAGGAAATTTAAAAGACTTTACTCACACACGGGAAATTTAAAGCAACTAAAAGGATTGAACACAAAACTTACCAGCGGGAGGAAAAAACAAGAAACTGGAGTAAAAACCAATGGGAAATAAAGTATAAAATATCCCTGGCCAGTGCGGTTCAGATGGTTGGAACATCATCCTGAAAACTGAAAAGTTGTGGATTCGATTCCTGGTCAGGGCACATGCCTAGGTTGTGGGTTTGGTCCCCAGTCAGGGTGTGTGCGAGAGGCAACAAATCGATATTTCTCTCTCAAATCGATGTTTCTCTCCCCACCTCTCTCCCCTCCCTTCCCCTTTCTCAATAAGCATGTCTTTGGGTGAAGATTAAAAAAGGGCATAGGCCCTGGCTGGCATAGCTCAGTGGATTGAGCATGGGCTGCGAACCAAAGTGTCGCAGGTTCAATTCCCAGTCAGGGTACATGCCTGGGTTGCAGGCCATGACCCCCAGCAACCGCACATTGATGTTTCTCTCTCTCTCTTTCTCTCTCCCTTCCCTCTCTAAAAATAAATAAATAAAATCTTTAAAAAATAGCCTTAAAAAAAAAGAGCATAAAATAGCTGAACTGAATACAGTTAGGAGACTGGTCATGAAATCCAAATATAGTGAGGTTTGATGGTATTAGTGTTTCCCTGGCAAATTGGGATAGTTCACTGGGCCCATTAACAGGAAGTGCACCCCAAGTGATCCAGGGTGAACACAAGTATCTGACATCGAGTGCACCTTGTGGCTGAGGCTAGAAGCCCTTTGGACATGACACTCAGGCGCTCTGCTCTGGAAAATGACCACTGGGCCGTGAGTGTGGCCTTTAAGACCTCCAACCTTAGGTCCCACATGTAGGACACCAGGGCAGGGCTGGCAGTGACCTAGATGAGCAACAGCGTCACCACGTCATGGGAGTGGAGCTGGGGGTTGGTCTGTCAGACTGCGGGGGCCCCTGATCATCAGCATCACCACTTGATCTTAACCCAAGCAACAGAACTAAATTGGACTTTCCGATTCTCATGGGACTAGTCTATTTGGACCGAGTAAACCTAGGACTCTTGGACAATTCATGGACTGAGCGGGTCAGTCTGAAGAGAGAATGAAGTCCTGCTAATGAGAGAACATGATTCATTAGAGAAACAAAAGAGATCTGTGTACCTCATCCACCGTACAGATGAAATGGGTCATCCTCCTTACCACTGACTCACGAAACACAACATTTGCTGTTTCGCCAGGCCCTTTTTCTGCACACTGACTCCACCAGTGTGAATACTATAAAGATCTAACTTCTAATAAACTCAAAATATTTCTCAGGCGAGAGAGTCTAGTAAACAGTAAAAACAGAATATGACAAATACAGGGACAGAGGCTCATCTTCCAGCTGTGTGTGTTTGGGAGGAAACAATAAACAAAGAACAAATAAAATATATGTTACACAGTAATCATTGTCCTGGAAAAAGAGAAAGCAAGGAAAGAAGCAAGGAGAGAGGAAAACACTGCGCTCATAAACAGGATGGTGAGTGACATGCTGATATTTGAGCGAGGCCTATAGGAAGTGAGGGAGTGAGCCATGCGGTCACGTGGGGGAGGAGGAAACTACAAGTGCAAAGGCCCTGAGGCAGGAGCATGCCTGCTGTGCTCCAGAATACAGCTGGAACCAACACAGCTGCAGTTCAGGGAGCGAGGAGGGCAGAGGTGAGAAGGGAGGCCAGAAAGGTGATGTCATTTCCTGTGAGTAAAGTGAGCAGCCATCAGAGGGTGTTGAATAGAAGAATGACAGGATATGACAGGATTTAAGAGAACCACTCTGGCTGCTGTGCTGAGAATGGACTGGTGGGAGCAACAGTAGAAGCAGGCGGACCAGGTAAGAGGCCATTCTAGAAATCCAGGATAAAGAAAAGAGTGGCTTGGGCCAGCGTGGGAAGAAGTGGCCAGAGTGGGACATAATCTGAAGGTAGAATAGAACCAATAGGGTTTGCAGATGGTTCAAATGTAGAGAATGAGAGAAAGAGAGGAGTCAAGGAGGAATCCACATTTTTGTGTTGTTGGCTTTTGTAAAAATCAGGTTTTTGGAGTAGTTTACACACAGTAAAATTCACCATTTTTGGTGAATGGTCCTATAAGTTTTGATAAATGAATTCAGTTATGTAACCACCACCCAATTCAAGATAAAGAGCCAGTCCCATCACTAGAAAAATACCCCGCATGCCCCTGTGTGGTCAGTCCTTCCCCACATCCCAGCCCCTGGCAACCACCTGCCTGCTCTGTCCCTCCAGTTTGCCTTCCCCACAATGTCGTAGAAATGGAGTCATACAGTACACAGCCTCTTGATTTTGGCTTCTTCCCCTGCATTCAGGACTAGAAGAAGGAGGAAGGTGGGAAAGGATAATGCCCCGTTTATCAGGAAAAACAGTCTTCCCAAGAAACCTTCAGACAGCTGTTTCCATTGCATCGGCCAACACTCACTCCTGCAGGCACTTGGGACTGAGCCAGAGCTCACAGGAGTGAGTGTTCAGCTTTTCCAGTCTCCGAGGTGGAGGAAGCAAGGACCGGGATAGGAAAGGGTGTTGCCTTTGCCAACCAAAGAAGCCTGCCCCCCCCAACCCCGTTGGGACGTTGAGGGGTTAAATGTGTGTTTTTTCACATTTGTTCTGAATGCAGAGTGGAAGAAAGTTGGGAGGTTCCAGGTCTGGAGGGAAAGTATCCTCAATGGTTAAAGATTTGAGGAAGGAGCAAGTGTGTGCAGGAGCAATAGCCAGGCCTCGCAGCCTGAAGCTAAGGCAGTTCCTGGTGTAATGACATCTGTCACTGCTGTCATCTCCACCCCTGCCCTTGGGGACTTTACAAAGGGCTGTTCCAGTGAGCGGAGGCATCTGCCCAAATGGGCATATTGGCCCCATTCCCACTGGAGGAGACGTCTCCTAGAGACGGCAGTTGGACAGGCCCAAGGGGCTTGTCTGCAGCTCCAGAGGCCGGTGGTGTCTGTGGAACCAAAGCAGCAAGGACTTCCCGCCCAGAGTGGTCTAGATTTGGGGCATGCTCCCGGGCCCACCTCCAACCAGGGAGCACATGGGTCCTCTGTGGTCCTGGTGTGGACCCTGCCAGGGCCGGGCTGACTCCATTTCTACCTCTGGGACCCCCCACTCTGATGGGGAAGGGGAAGTCATTGGAAATCCTGTCAAACTTAGGAGCCAGGTTCCGGCTGCCCACTCCAGGCCCAGCCTGACCCTCAGGTTCCTTGAGATGGACAGAAGGGTGCCCTAGGGCTCCAGAGCTTCCTGGAGGCTGGTCACCCAACTCAGAGAAAACCCACCATTGTGGGCCACTTATGGGGCAACTTCTGTACCCTGGCAGGTGTGTCTAGGCATTCCTTTCTCAAGGGCTTCTCTCAGGACGCCACTTAAAAGAACTCACGTGTGCTCTGAAGGGGAGGGGGAGGGAGAGCTGGAGACAAACAGGCGTGGAAGAAGCTGACGGGGAGAGAGGACGAGGAGGGGGCCCAGGAGAAGGAAAAGGAATGAAGGGGTGCCCAGTGACAGAAGGGGAAACTGAGGAAAGGGCGGGGCAGCAAGTGATGTGGGGCGACTGAAGGCAAGGAGACCCTAGAGGTGCAGTGACTAGTGAAGAGGGGACCGGGTCACAAAACGGAGGCCCTGGGACTCAGCTCCCAGCTGAGCCGCCCACTCACTCCCTAGGCTGTCTCCAGGTGAGCAGGAGGCCAGGTTTGCATTTGTTTATTTTAATAAAACCAACCCCTCAGCATTTACTGTGATCTGGTAATAACCTAAATGTAATCAAAACAACATGAACAAATATTTTAGAAGAGTACCCCCAATAAAGGATACTAAACAACAAAGGAAAACCTACACTCCCTTGTTGAAAGCTCACTTCACGGACTGGTTCTGGTTGGAGACATCTCCCTTTGAGCATGACTGGATCTAGTTGTTTTCCTGACTTTGCTTTAGCATGAATCTTTTGCATGAACTACTTCAGCAAAGCCCAGGAGGACTAGGACAGGGTTCCGGATACGGGGGTGTGGCGGAAAGGAGGGAGAGGGCTGTTCCAGGAGGCCAGAGGCCTAGCTGCGGAATGGAGGGAGGGAAAAGCCATCCCAAGGGAACAGGAGTGTTACCTAGGTCTCCTGCAGGGCAGGAAGCCAGGATACTCCTTATGGCCTGGGACATTGCTCTCACCCCACCCCTGTGGGTGCAGGCAGGGCCTAGAACCCTACTGTCTCACTGATGTGCTCCTCCGTGCACGGGAAGATTCACAGAATCAGGTGTGAGTCACCGGTGAGTCAGCTTCTGGGGCTGCGGAGGCAGAGCTGCCTCACTCAAATCCAGGAGATGGGCCACTGAGCACAGGGGGAGGAGGAGGGAGGGGACAGCCCACTCCCCTGGGAGTGGTTTCTCCCACCCAGCCCTGTTTGAAAACCCAAAAGGCAGGGCCCTGCAGCCCCCACGCCCTTGGGGGCCTTTTATGTAGCAAAGCTGGGTCTCCAGCCTCTTCTGCAGGGAAGGTACAAAGCAAAGGTCAGGAGTTAGGAAGTTGAATCCCAGGTGGGCAGGACCCTAGCTGCCCCCATTTTAACCCCAACTGCACCCCTGCTTCCCAATGTCCTCATTCAAGGGAAAAAACAGGACCTGGATAATAATTTATTGAAATTTGGGAGAATAAATAAAATGTGCAGGCAGGCTTACAAATAACTGTAAAAATCACGAACGTATATACACAAAGGCGCTCCCGGCTCCAGGGGTGGAACCTGAATCGGGGGTGGGGGCGGGGTGAGGGCGGGGTCTCCCAGAGGAAGCGACCCTGAGCCAGCACGCGGGAGCCCTCCAGAGGTAGACCGCTTATTTACAACTGAGGAAACTGCCTGTGTTTAGGCTGCTGGGGCGCCCCGGGCAGCCCTGTATCCCTGGATTCTTAACCCCGACGGCCCGCTCCCCTGTGAGTGTCCGCGGAACTGAACCCCTTGCACGATCCTCTGCACCCAGGAACGGTGGGAGGCCAGGCTGATGTAGACGCCGGGCCGGTTGCGCTCCGCACAGCCCTCGCCCCAGCTGATGATGCCCGCCAGCAGCCAGGTGCCCTCGACCTGGCACATCAGGGGGCCTCCGGAGTCGCCCTACGGAGAGAAAGGCAGGTTAGGGACCCACGTAAGGCAGCGGGTGGTAAACGGTTCCCTTTGTTAAGAGGGAGGCATTTCTCCATCCTGGAGGCAGCACCCTGAACTCCAACCAGGCAGAGAGGGCCAGGTAGGATGCCTTCTGGACTCACTTCTGGTGACAGACACTCTGTGTGAGACCTCCCTCCTCACAGGTGAGGCAGAGAGTGTTGTTACTTGTTTCACAGACAGGGAAACTGAGGCTCAGAAGTAATAACTTGCCCAAGTGGTTAACCAGAGGCAGCCAGGTAGGAATTGCAAGCAGGTCTTCCAATATCCCAGCCCAGACTTTGACCACACAGTCTCCTGCCATCCACCACAGTGACAGAGCTGTGGTGGAGGGTGTAGGGCCCCCACCTCAGGACAGTGCAAGCTTCCTGAGAGTGGAATCCGGACACCTGAGGTGCTCAGTATGTGCTGGGTGTATGAACAGATGGATGAGTAACTGAACCCAGTGGAGGCCTGTTCTGCAGGCATCTAGGGGCACTGCAGGTCACAGCTGACTCTGGGGGAGGCCCAGCCAACCATCAGGAAGCCCAGGGGGGCAGGGCTGGGAATGAGGTGGGGTGCTCACCAGACAGGCATCCCGTTCCCCCTCTAGGTAGCCGGCACACAACATGTCCTCGGTGATGGCTCCCTGCCCAGCTCCCCGCCAGTACAGGCGACCACAGATTTCTGAGTCGATGATGGGAACCTTCAGCTTCTGTAGGGTCTGAGGGTGGGGCAGGGGCACTGGGAGCAGAGAGGAGAGAGTCAGACTTGGGAAGTTCTGGTTGCCTCCTCAATTCCCTCCTCCATTCATTCCCTTTAGCAGTGCTTCTCAAAGGCTAATGGATCACCTCTGCCAGGTTCTCCCAAGATGGCTGCAGAAAACCCATATTCCAGGGCCCCACCTCTGGGCCTACTGAATCAGAGCATGAACACGCAGCTTGAAGCCTGGAATTGTTAACCAGATCTCTGATGCCCACAAATGGTTAGAACCAGTGGTCCAGGTTTGTCCTGCCTCAGTCACTACTTCATCTAGCATAGGTACTGCTACAGATGAGGACTTGAAGAATTCCGTGACAGCCTGGGGGCAGGGGGCAGATTGTAGATCCTCCCAGTCCACATTTCTAGTTCTCACAGAAGCCCCTAAGGAGAGCCCTGGGAGACTGGCTGCAGTCTCAGTCAGTGGGGTCTCCAGATACCCAAAATGATGTCATTTCTCTTAATTCTTCTGAAATCTGGATACAGTCCCATTTTTCTGACACTTTGTCCTTTCTTAGTTTTTTTTTTTTTTGCTTCACTGCCTCTTACTTTATCTAATCTGCTCTGTGTTTCTAGATGATTTTTGCCAAACCTCCAAACTTGGTTTGCAATTATATTTTGCAGTTAGGGAGATGGTATTACCTCTTGGGCATTTTGCCTGCAATTACAGTATGCTGCCACCAGGGGTACCTGTTCCCACTTTGGTATCTTAGGGTTTGGTATCTTATTTAGCTTGGTCCCAAGTTGCCTCCTTTCAGACATTCCTAGATCACTTAATAGCTTCGTTTGATCTGGCTGCTGTTGCCTCAGAACACAGCCAAAGATAACTTTTCATTAGCAATGACCTGAAATTGTCAACCTAGGTTTTCGTGATATCACATCTTTGGATGCAATCCATCTTTTTGTCTGTTTCTGTCATGCTATGCCTTTGGCCTCTACACTTTGCTGCAATGGCTCCTCTGTTTCTGAGTGTCCACCATCCTCTGTCCTTACCCATCCCCAACCACCTAGTGGGGAAGAAGCGCACCTCCATCATGGACAGTCCCCCAGCCTGCAATCCAGCAGTCCGTGTTTGGATGGAGATGGACAGAGAAATCAGGCAGGCAGATGGGAAGGATTCGCTCCGAAAACTGGATGGGGTGCTCGAGGCGCACCAAGGCGATGTCCGCACGGGAACCCTCCTTCCAGGAGTACACAGGGTGGGGATGCACCCAGGCAATACCCACCTCCTGGGACCTTGGGCCAAGATTCCCCAGCTGCCAGGCACCCAGCAGCACAGAGTACAGGGATGGCTTGTTCAGAGTGCTGGAAGGAAGAGCGAAGGGGATAGGGTTAGCCAGGAACCATGGATGGCCAGGAAGGATCTAAAAGGGGAAGAGTACACACAACAAGTCCATACAAAAGCAAAAGAAGAAGAAAAAAAAAGCAAAAGAGAAGAGGAGCAGGGTCCCTCCTGATGGACCCCAGACTGGATCAGGGCCTGGTAGCCAAAGCTGTGTGAGGAGCCCAGGTGTGGGGCAGAAAGCTGGGGACTCAAGTGAAAGAGACTGGCTGTCATACCCTTTGAAGCAGTGGGCGGCAGTGACCACCCAGCGACTGGTGAGCAGGGAGCCTGCACAGTGGTGGGTCCTGTTCTTCTGGATGCTCACAACCCAGGGCCACTGGGCATCAGCGCTGTCTTCACCACCCACAATCCGGTTCAGCTGCTGGGGCTTCCCACAGGCTGGGGGCACTGGCAGAAGGGGGTCCAGTTTTCTCTCATCCCCTCAGCACAGTCCTTTTCCCCTTCCATCTGCCCTCCACCCACCTCCAGTACTTAGGCCTGTGCTCTATTGCCCCTCCCTCTGCCCTTCTATCTGCCTGTACCCCTTCCTTTGCTGTTTCTCCTCTGACCTGCCCTTTCTCCGCCCCCTCTTTTGACTAGACTTTCCCCTCCACTTGGTTCAACATTGCCCGCAACTCTGTTCCTTTTACCTTCCCGGCCATTTGCCGTTCTGGGCTCTGGCTGCACTTGGTTCTCTCTCCTCTGCATCCCAGCCTGTGTTCTGCCCTCTGAGCCTCCTTTCCTGTCTACTCTCTAGCTCAACCCCACTCTTGCCTCACTGCCTCCTTCTGACCTGGCCCCACGGACAGACACACAGACACTGCCCTCCCCCTCAGGTTTCCTCCATTCCCCTCCCCTCAGGATGGCTCCTACTCACCAGGTGTCTTGGCAGCACCAAGGATGGCTAAGGACAAGAGAAGGAAAGGGTCAGGCCAGTGGAGGGGCCCTTCAGTGCCCAGTGGAGAGGATACCCCTCCCCCATGCCTGGTGACCCCCTCCAGTCTCACTCCAGGCCCCTCCAGGCCTTCCCAGGTAGGGCATTTCCTGGAGCCTGGGTCGGGGAGACAGAATCCTCATGCTGTTATAAGCTGAGGCTTACCTGTCTTTCTCCAGCTTATGCCCAGGATCCATCCCACCTTCTGATGGTGGGATCAAACTCATTGTCATCATCTCCCTCCCTTCTGTTTCTTCCACCTTCTGGGGAATATGGAACCAACTCCTGGGACGCCTTTCACAGAAAGTGGACACAATCCTGACCCTCTCAGGCTTCCTCCATCAAACCTGAGCAGTGACCCAAGACTCCCTTTACCCCTCACCCCAAGCCCAAGGCCTGGAAGCTGCTGCCCCAGAAGATGGGAGAAACAGGAGGGAGGGAAATGATGACAATGAGTTTGATCAGTAAGAACCACCAAAGGGGAAGCATACGAGCCCTCTTAGGACCGGCAGGGTTTCATTTAATCCTCATGACCGTGGAGAGAAGTGAGGCACGGCACAGTCAGATCACAGGAGAGGGAGGGAGACGGGGTGTGGAGGGGCGGCAGGGGATGGGGGGAGAGAGCATGAAGCATGAAGGAGGAGACTGGATTCAGGTAGGAAGGCAGCTGAGATGAGAGGGAGAGGGAGGAGGAAGTGATCCTGGAGGGGCAGGGAAGGAGGGAGGGAAGGGAACGGGGAGGAGCAGAAGGTCCCGAGGACTCACCTGTAGAAGCCAGAAGCAGCAGGGAGGTTAAGATCCGAAGACAGCCCCCACCCAAGACTGGGGGGGTTCTGGAAATGAGCATGTCGGACAGGGGTGGGGTCACAGCCTAGTGAGCTGTGCTGTGCTGTGCTGGCCAGCAGGACTGTGCAGGGTTCCCTGCAGGTCACCCCAGTTTTTATCCTGGGAGGTGGAATGCTGTCAGACCAGTCCCCCCAGTGAGTGGCTCAGTCCCTGCCACCTGGGGCTGTAGGTCACCAGAGGGGGTGGGGCTGCCAGGAGGAAATGAGCTTTAACGGGAACTGGGGGATCTAGCTGAGACCCCTGCCTCAGGACTGGACTAATGGACTCAGGCTCTGGATCTGAAGCTCCAGCTGTGGGCCCAGGATCTGGCCTAAGGAAGGCAATCGAGGGGAACTGGACTATGGCCTTGGCATTGACTAAGGAGTTGGGGGGTACAGAGAGAGGTCCTCACAGCTCGAAGGAAGGGGGTCTAGGTGGGGAAGGGCAGGCACTCAGACCCAGGGCCTGAGTCCTCAGTAGCAGGAGGCTCAGGTATGAAGTGTTGGAGAGGCCCCAGGGCTTTGGGGAGATGGGGGCTGGCAAGGGGGCTGCCTAGAGACTCCACAGGCTACTGCCTCCCAAGGCCAGCTACCCTGACCCAGCTGGGAGACCTGGACCAGCCCAGGAGTCTGGGATCCATTAATCAGGCCCCCAGTGGCCTCCAGTCCCGTGGCCATCTTCCTGTGGGCCCTGCCACTCAGAAGCCCAAGGATTCACCCTATTCACCTTTTACCTTCACTCCCAGGAAGCCCATGTGGGTGGGGCCAGCCAGGTGCTCTCGTGGCTATGACTTATGAGGCTGCCTGGGAAGGGCTGGGCAACTGGGTCTCCCTCACCCTACCTCACCCCTGTGTTTCTGGAAGCCCCCCTCCCCACCTCCATGGGGTCAAAGGGCCTCTGGGCTGCAATTGTTGGAGGAGGCCTCATCAGGTGTTGGGCCCCAGCTGCTCCCCACGCCCCCTGCGGAGTCTGCCCTCCTGATTCTGAGAACCCCACCCTGAGTCAGGTCTTCCTGACGCAGTCCCACGCTCTTGACAGCCCCACTCCAAGTGGGAGGAGCAGGGTTCTTCCAACTCTGAAATGGATCTGTATTTTTTTTCCTTTCATTCAATCAACAAACCTCAAGCTGGGCCCTTGCTACACCTAGGGAAGGGTCAAGAGAAATAGCAATAACAACTGACAGCTTTTAGTGCACCACGTATCACCTCCTGTAGCCTCCCATTTCCTTATTATTATCCCATCTGCCAATGAGGAAACTGAGGCCACTTAGAGAGCTTAATGACTTGCCCAAGGTACCCCAGCTGGTGAGTGGTGAGGCTGGATTTGAACCCTGAGCCAGGAGGCAGGCGATGGGACTAGACTCAGTGGAACCTGAGGGGCCTCAGTCCAGTGAATGGATAACTGTCACCAGGGGTCATACCTGAAGGTAGGTGGAGGCCTCAGGAGCCCAGAAGAGGCACCTGACCCCACTCAGGGGCCAGCAAAGGCTGCCCAGGAAAGAATGACTTTGAAACAAAAGCCTGGGGAGTGAGATGGAGTTGGCCCTGCAGAGGCATGGGGAGAGGGTGGGCACAGGGGGACCAGGCATAGGGCTTGGAAGGAAGGGGGAGTGCTGGGTGACTTTGGGGCTGGAGGGCTGGAAGGGCTGGGGGCTGCTACAGCAGATTCTCAGCACACCCTCCGCTGGGCAGACCCCAGCTTAGTCAGCGTGCCCTGCCCCAGAGCCTGCCCCGGCGTGAACATCCTTGCTGCCCACCTTCTGGTGCTGGTAGTGTTTCGGTGGTGGCAGGGTTCCGAGATCCTGCCATACACAGCCTGCCCTGGGAACTGTCAGTACCAAAAAGGATCATGATGTGATTTACTGGCCCTGCTTCGATTGGGGGGCACAGGGATATTCAGATTAAACTGTAGGGGCGAGCCCCCACCCCACCCCACCCCACCCAAAGGCAAACCATAGATGGGACGCAGGAGCCTCGAACAGCCTGCAGCTGATGCATCATTCTCTGCCCCAGGTCTTGGGGGAGGAGGGACTGCAGGCAAGAGAACACCCACACTGAGTGGCCAAGGTGAGGGGCGGTTTCTGTAGGTAGGGCCTCCTCAGCAACCAAATGGAAATTTCCTAGGTGGGGGCAGGGTGCCCCCCTCACTCGCTCACTCTCCTGGGTCCACCTTTGCATTCCGTGGCTAGCCATACCCCTCATGCTTCCCCGACCCACTCCCTTCCTGGAACTGAGGTGGTTGGCCTCCCCAGCTCACGCAAAAAGCATTTATTTGCTACCTGCTGTTTGCCAGGCCCTGTGTCGGACACCAGGACACAATGGTGAATAAGACACAGGTCTTATCCTCAGGCAACACATGTCTCCCTGGGGGTGGGAGGCAGGTGAACGAGTCACCGCGGTGAGGTGGTATGGGGGTGGGCGCAGAGGCCACAGGACTGGAGAGGGAGTGTCAGGAAAGGAGCAGCAGTGGGCATGGACACTGGAGGTCCGCCCTGAGGTTCGGTGCTGTGTGCTGCAACTCCCTGAGGGGAGGGACAGTTTGAGGAAGCTCCCGTGATCCTCAGATTCTAGGTTGTTGCCCGGTGCACGCTGAGCCTCAGTGGATGGTTGCTGAATCCACTGAGTGTGTGAAAAGGTGAGTCTGGACAATTCCACGGGGACTGATGCTCCAGCCTCCTACCTCTCCAGTTTCCTTTTCATTCCAGCTTTTTCTGCCTTTCACGGGACTGGGTCACTGTCCAAGTGACCCAAGGGGCAGGTATGTGCCTCAAGATGTTTCTGTCCTTGAGATGGGGTAGCCAAGAAAAGAGGCCCGAGGAGCAGGGCCCAGTGGGAACCAGAGGAAGTCCTGAGCGGCCAGTGAAGACTTCCTGGCACGAGTCCTGGGCGAAGCCCGACAGACTGGCTCCTGGTTCCCAGGGAGTGGAGACCCCTCATGACTCAACAGTTACTAAACAAAATATTGGCTGAGCACCTGCCATATCAGGCACCTGGCTGGGCATCTCTTCACCCGGACATGAGAAGGGTAGGCTGCCCACCCTGCCACCCACTTTACCATGTCCCCACCAGGCCATCTCAGGGCCATTGATGAGTCTAAAATGAGATATAGATGACAAGACAGGGCTGCAGAGGCCTTACATGAAACAGCAGCTGGAGCTGGCAACGCTCAACCCAGACAAGTGACTCACCAGCAGCATTTCGGACGTGGGCATCGAGGTCAGGGCAGAGATATGAACAGGGGTATCCATTCATCATCGACCAAACCCACCAAGCACCTACTGCATACCAGGCGCTGCCCTACGAGCTGGAGATCCAGCCGTGAACAAAGCGCCAGTGATCCTGCACTCCCGGCAGGGACGCTGGAGGGAACAATCAACACAGTAAACCATTTAGTCTGATAGATGTTGATAAGGTCCCAGGGGAAAACCCAAACAGGGAGGGTGTTAGGACAGGAAGTGGGCGGGGAATGGGAGGTGGGGATGGGGGATGGGAAGGTGGCCGTCTTAAACCAGGAACCCAAGGCCATGCTCACTTTTGAGCTGAGACTTGTAGGAAAGGGGGTGAGAGTTGTGGGTGCCATCACTGACCACTCCAGCCCCAGGAACAGCACGGGTGGGTGGGACTAGCAGATCCAGCCAATGGCAAAGGAGAGACACAGTGGCTAAGGGGGCCTGGCGCCACTGGGGAAGGCGAGCCCTCCTTGCTGTGGTGAGCCCACCTTGAACTCCAGGTAAGCTAAGCCACTTGGCCCCAAGTAGTCCCTTCCCTCTTGGTTCCAGGAGAGTGTTCGGTGTGTTCTGAGACCGCAGCTGCCAAACAGGTGTGGAAGCTTTGTCAGACCCGCAGTGTCCTTTGTTTTTCTAAATTGGGCAAATCCACATTTTTTTAAAGTCTGAAGTTTGACCCATGCTGTTGCGAACATGAGTGTACAAGTGTCTGAGTCCCTGCAAAAACAGTATTTGTATACCCATGTTACGAGTAGCACTATGCACAATAGATGAAAAGGTGGGAACAACCCAAGCGGCCGTTGACCGAGGAGCAGATAAGTAAAATGTGGCTCATCCGTGCAACCGAGTAATATTTAGCCACAGAAAGGGATGGAGGACTGAAACATGCTGCAGCATCGAGAGCATTTGCTCAGTGAAGCAAACCAGACACGAAAGAACAAATACCGTGTGATTCCACTTACATGAGGTCCCTGGAGTCATCCAGCTCAGGTTAGAACACAGGTTAGAGGTTACGGGCCTGGGGGACGGAAAAGGGACTGAGTGGCTAAGGCGGACAGAGTTTCAGCTAGGGAAGACTAGAAGCTCCGGAGGTGGTGGTGGTGGTGTTTGTACAGCATCGTGAATGTGCTCAGTGCCACTGAACTGTGCCCTTACGTGGTTAAAATAGTAAGTCTTATGTACATTTTACTGAAAAAATCTGAACGCCTGCCTTTTCTGGAATGCTGGAAGCCGAGGCGACACGCCTCCAGGGGCTGAGTGGCCCTGATTGCAGCACAGCCCCACCCACCCACCCCCACTCTGCTGCACTGGCTGGTGCCCTGGGTCCTCAGGCTCTTCCTGCTCTTGGAGGGCAGGGACCCGGACTGAGCAGATTCTCCATGCCCCCCCTTCCCTCACATAACTCAAATGAAGCTCTCAGAGTGAGCAGAGCCCTCCAAAGGAGCGAGCTAAACAGTAGCTCCTTCCTCCAACCTGGGCCTCAGTATGTCCCCCTCTGAAGATAAGTGGTCAGCACTGCCAGGCCTGTCCAGACCACATGAAAAAGGGCTGCTTGAGTGTGAAGGGCTGGCAGGCAGCCTTGCAAGACTGAGTGCCGATTTAGCAATGAGCTGGGCTGAGCTCATCGGCAGACAAGGTTTTCCGGCACTAATGGTTTTGAGGAACCTGGCCTGGCGTGTGCCATGGACATTGGAAGATGCCGCTCAGCAGCTGGCATTTTGTCACCTTCCCTTGGGGATCTCCTTCCTCCTGTCTAACCGTATTCCTGAACTGCCCTGCAACTCAGATGTTGCTCGGGACGCACTGCCTCTTGCAGACTTAAGTTGAACCTAGCCCCAGCCCCAGCCCCATCCCAGGGCCTGGCCCCCACATCCCTCACAG